ATAATAATAATAATAAATAAATAAATAAATAAATAAATAAAAATAAATAAATAAATAAATAAAAAAATAAATAAATAAATAAATAAATAAGATATTTTGCTAAAGGAACTGGTTTACCTAGACTTTTGTTTACACACGTAGGTGAATATTTAGGATGTTATTAATTTAGTTTAATTTTTTAAGTTTATCGGGGTGTGGAGTGGGCCATATTCAGATGTAAGTCTAAACAAGGGTGCGATCACAAAAAAAAAACATAAGGCAATACTTAATAACCGTAGATACCTGGTAAAGTGTAAGCTTATTTCACAATGTTTTATGTAAAGTCTAAGGCGTCTATAGCACAGATATTTGCCAATACCCCCAATGCCTTTTTATATACAAATGAGGCTGGCTTCAAGGTGAAGTGTCCATATGCAAAGTGCCAGTTTACGCATGCGCAGTGGTACGAAAACAAAAGAATTTTTAGATGAGGCGCATACTTATAAAGATCACTGTCAACCGATAACTTCATAAACTGATCAAAGCTGTAAATTACAGAGATGCATTGCCGTCTTAACAACATTGCAGGCTCTGGGCAAAGCAATGCACTGGGGCCCCCAACCGGTCCTACTATTCATTAACAATATGTGCAGCAATATGTCGCAGAATCATGAGGCCATGGGCAACTGCCCAGTGTGCCAGTGCCCATCACTGTAGAGATGGAGATATAGAATGGTGTTATAATGAGGTGCAGCTCTGCTACCGTTTTGTTTTTGTTCGTGTAACGCTGTTCTACAGAAAAATGACAGAAAATAATTCCTAATTTGAAACTAGCCAAATGTATGATTTAATCAAAACTCAAAAGCCCTCTGACCTTGAACAGAACTAAAACTGGTATCGAGCAAAAGTGTTTGGGTTGTGTGTGTTTAAAATTGTATGCATGATTTAGCCATTCAAAATTGTCTCTGAAACTGAGCAGCATGCACTCAATTGTTTTATAAGGAAAGAATGGCCAAAGCTGTTTACCAAGCTTACGGTCCAAAGATTATCTTTTAGTTTTATTTCCCTGTAGGATAGCGTGTGGGAAAACGTATCCTTTCCAGTTTTCTGAATATAATATCCTGACTTTTGAGACTCTTCATTCATGAAATCGAGTTAATTTATGGTTGAAACTCGGTAAAAGTTTACATAACAACTATTTTAGGAATGTTTTCATGAGACGGCTGAAGAGAACTAGATTTAGAGCAAAAATTTACTCAATAGGTGCATGAGTCTACGTTATCTTTGCTAATGATAATAGAGCGTACGTCAAAAAATGGGGCCCCGAGTGGCCGAGTGGTCTAAAGCGCTGTCCGTTACGGATCACTGCCATCTCACCTCTGTTTGCGTGTGTTCGAGTCTAGGATTCGGCTAATGTAGATATGTGAGAAAGCTTGCCAGTAGCTTCTCGTGGGTCGGTGGTTCTTTCCGGTGATATCCCGGTTTCTTCCTCCACCATTAATACTGGCCGCCATGAATAGCCTATCGTGTGCTGAAAAATGGCGTTAAGCCCAACAACAAACAAACAAACAAACAAACGTCAATAAATGGAAAATGAACATTACATTATTCCATAAAATCATATTTAAAAAATATTTCTCAATATCAAAGTAATAAAGACATATACCGTAAAGTGTATTGAAAAGTACATATAATAGATCTTCTATCCAAGAAATATTTATATTCTTCTTTCTGATTCTAGATTCAAAAGAATATAGTCATAAGTGCAACTGATAATGCTTATGCGTTACATAATTCATTTTAAAAAAAAATATTTTTATCTTCGTTGGAAAAAAACAAATAACAGTATGTATATTTTAGCGTATATACACGATCAAAAATAAAGGAACGGTGGTCCTCTTGTGTTTCCAACTTGAAATATGAAAGATGTGACTTTAAATTTTTTAAAAAATAATAAAAATTAAACATCAATGTCAGTGTACCTTGGAACTGTAATAGAGAAAGAAACTCAGTCTGTATGTTTTTTTTTCGGTACATTATATTTAACAAAATTAATCTAGCTTCCCGGAAGCAAACGTTCTTTCTAAATGAAAACTGCAAAATTTTCAAGTCTTTATCTGGTTCAGCTTAGCAAAGTTTGTACTGATAATGAAAAATGGTAAGTCAGGCAATGAACTGGCCCGTTTTCTGATAACAATTTAAAGCGTGCACATTTTACCAAATGATACGTTCAGCAATTGTTTCCTTGGAACCTTTTCAACATACATACATACATACATACATACATACATACATACATACATACATACATACATACACACACACACACACACACACACACACACATACATACATACATACATACATACATACATACATACATACATACAGACATAATTTGTTAATTCAGGTTGCACCATTTATCAATTTATACGTGTCATATGAAAATAACTTTTTTTCAATCAAATTGTTCTACTGTAACTTACAACAGCAACACATGCATTAATCTATGACTCAATGATTTTGTGACATAATCACTTCTGCATTTTCATTATGGATTTGAAGAGGACATATGGAGATTCCTGTAAAATATCGATCATCAACGATCTTGTATCTATCCAGTACATTGGGATTGTGTGATGCACAGATTAACCAAAAACACAGACTCGGTCTGCCCGGACTTCATCTGCAGATAGAATTTGCAGATATCCGTCTGGAGAAAAACTGGCAAAAACTGAAACATCTTGTGGATTGTTTATGCCATGCTGATTGGAACTGATCTCATCCCTTAAGTCAGTGTTGGTATCACTTAGATCGTAAAGCCGCACTGTGTTTGACGTTAAGATGACATCAGACCGATATAAAAGATCTTGTAACATATTTTTAAATGCCTGACACATGATGAAGTCATCTGATTAGGTTTCCTTTACATTATGAAATTTATTTTTTCATTTGTTAGCGCTCACTAAGGCTTCTAGCCACACAACAACTATTTAGAGCTGCGATATACAGTTTGCACAAGATATACTTATATATATATATATATATATATATATATATATATATATATATATATATATATATATATATATATATATATATTGATGCAATAAACTGACGACGAACAGTACGAAACTATTAACTAACTAGCCTAAGCGCTTTCGACTCTTAATGAGTCTTGTTCAAAGGCAAATACAAAACATATATACGATAAACAAATAAACACAAAAACGTTGTGTTTGTAAGCCTCTACATGGCTGTCTTCACATGTGCTAAAACTATAAATACAACCAGCTTGTATAGACTAGATGCGGAAACTAAAAACGTTGTATAATTCCCTAAAAGTCTACAAGCCAAAGCGACATCTATTTTTACTTTGTGTACATATGTAACGCAGATTATATCCCGGATATTTGATTCTATACCGGTTATTCTTATAGTAAAAATTGAAGGATAATAAGAAGATTTAGAAAATGTTAAATTTTACTAGTGCATAGTTTTCATTTTCTAGTCTTCTTGGTTTAGACTGCTTGGTTTCAATGTTCTAAGGCGGCGTATCCAGTATGATTCCTTTTCCTTCCTGGTTTCGGAACTCATGTGAAAATGTAAATAACATTATTAGATTTTGGTGCCAAATAAATGAATTTTGCCAGGTTTTTTCTTTTAATATATGTTATTCTTTGAGGACTATGAATTTTGGGCTGCAGTTTTAGAAACGTAAAAGCGCTTTAAAGAAACGAAATGATGCATGTAAAAAATGTTGCAGTAATCAATATCCATAGTGCATGATTTCTCTAACTATTCGTATTGGTGTACAAATAATTTATATGTAATTTAATATGTTATTTTCACGCACATATTGCTATTGTCATTCTTAATATGTTCTTGCTTTATTTATTTAGCGTAGGGGGGGAGGTCTGGCGGTTAACTCTCCAAACTGAAGTCTAGACAACTTTGTACTGGCCTAAAAAAATAAGGCCACTTTTAATCTCCGTAGGCACCTGGTTTGGTCTAATCATATTTTTCAAGGTTGTAAAGCCCGAGGCATCTATAGCACGGACGTTTGCCAACGCCTACACTTCCTTTATAGTCTTTCTATATGCAGATGACGGTGACAACAAGGCGAAGTGTCAAGATAAATCGCCATTGCGCATTCGTAATGGACATGTTTAAAGTGCATCTGCGTTGGTGTTAACCAGCAGATCATTCATTCAGTGTTTCCTATGAAGCCTGTTAATCGACTTCTGGATCCAAAACTAAACTGTGCACAGAAACAATCACTACGCAACTATATCTGAAGATAGCCCGCCAAGCTTATTTGAATATGACTGGGTATATTATTGGTTTGTTTTTGTGTTTTTTTTAAAAAAAAGAATTGCTTCAAACCTCTTCACATGGATTACGGAATTTTTCCACAGAGTTTAAAGCTTACTAAATCATGAAGACATTTAATAATCATAATCTGCACGAAAGGTAGTTCTCGCTACAAATTAGAAAGATTTAACGAGCTTTCAATTATTCTGGTTAATCCAATTGAATGTTGACTTACACATCATTAATACTTTATTAGATACGAAAACAAACCAATGTTTAGACAATGTGGATACTTATGATGATCAGTCAGCGATCACGTGATAAACTGATAACAGCTACACACGAGAGACAGACAGACAGACAGACAAACAGACAGACACAGAGCAACGATATAATAAATTTTTGCTCTGCTCCTGTTTTGCTTTAATTTTGCTGATCTACAAAAAAAAATGCCCGTAAAATATTACCTAATTTAAACCTATCTAACTCTATTATTTATTTTAAAAATCAAAAAACATTCTGACTTTAAGTAGAAATAAAACTGAGATTTTAAAAATTATGTTTGGATTGTGTGTGTATACTTTGATGCATGATTTCACTGTTCAAAATTATCTCTAAAAGTGAATTCTTGAAAATGCAACAGCTTGCAAACAATTTGTATTATAAGGAAGCCGTCGCCGTCAAATGTTTACGAAGCTTGTCATGATGACGTTTGATACCGCTCCGGTGGTTAGAGCGTCCGCCTCGGATGCGGGAGGTCGTGGGATCGATTCATGGTCGAGTCATACCAAAGACTTACAAAAATGGTACTAACAGCTGCCTCGCTTGACGCTCAGCATTAAGAGGTTAGTATTAGGACTGGTCGGTCTGGTGTAAGGATAATGTGACTGGGTGGGACATCATGCTACATGTCTGCGGCATGATGCCCCAGTGCTAGACATCGCTATAAACTGCCACACTGCAGACATCGTAGCGATATGACTGAAAAACATGTTAAAGCTACATTAAAAATCATAATCACACTCACACACATGATGGCGTTTGAACCTGCAGCAGCAAGCGAGTTGTTTTTGATTGGAAAGAGAGAATGGTAATTGTCCTTGACTAACTAACACTATAATCAATATATATTACGAACGATGTGGCTGAGACGATTTGTTTCTGCGACTAAAACAACCCCATTCAATATTTCAGCTTTTAGTTTTATTTCCCTGTAGGACAGCCTATCTTTTTCCATTTTGAGAATAAAATGTCCTCGGTTTTTTGTTGTTGTTGTTATTCATTCATGAAATTGAGTATATATAAGGCTTAAATTCGGTCAAAGTTTAGAAATAGCTATTTTGGGAATGTTTTCAAGAGACAGTTGAGGAAAGGCTAGATTGAGAGGACGCAAAATTTGACCACAGGTAGATGTTTTACCTGAAATTATGCGTCTGGTAACAACTCGTTACTATTCACAGGATGGTTTATTGGGGCGGAAGGAAACAAAGTGACGTTTGAAAGATTGTTAGCCTCCTCTGTCTCAGTATATGTCGCGCACTCCGCCAAAGGCGAATCAAAGAACCCTAAACATTGATGTGCATTCCTACAACTACATCTATTTCTTCTTTAAATGACAGAAACGGCCGAATAATATTCCGATTGCTGCGGTGATATTGGAGTCATGACGACAGAAGTAACATCATAAATGTTATCCAATCTATCTTTATATGCTTAAAGTTTTGACAAAACGAGGCAAATAAATATATCGTAGTAAACAAGGTAAAATTTTGGTTAGCCATCTGTATTTCTTGATTTGTACATTAAATTTGAATCACCTGAAATTTCCGGTAAAAAATATAATTTACAACAAACAAAAATCATCAAGTTAATAATATCAGTGTATACCAGATCTTTTGCGATATATGTCCCTACTGCTTGTAATCCCATCTCTACGTCCCGTTTCGTGGAATACATTTCTCTCATTTGTCTCAAAGATTTGCGCTTGTTATAATATGGAATGCAACTGAAGCAAATATTGATAAAAATATGCATGCTTCTTCAAATATGAAAAGTGTACCGTCTACATACGATATACTATACAAACTAAAATATATCACGCACTTTGTACATTTTTGACATACAGTAATTGCGAGCTGTTGTTGTTGTTGTTGTTGTGGGGCTTAACGCCATTTTGCAGCACACGATAGGCGGCCAGTATTAATGGTGGAGGAAGAAACCGGGAAATCCGCGGTAAGAACCACCGACCCACGAGAAGCTACTGGCAAGCTTACTCACATATCCACATTCGCCGAATCTTAGACTCGAAGCCACGCAGACAGAGGTGAGATGGCAGTGATCCGTAAGGGAGAGCGCTTTAGGACACTCGGCCACCCAGGGCCCCTAATTGTGAGTTAATATTTTTGATATGTCAATACTTTAACATAACGCTTCATACATACTAAACTCAATTGTCCAAATGATCCAATAAAATTCTTGCGCAGTGTTCTCGTTAATGAATGACTGCGGATGTGGGAATTTTCCTTATCCTCTTTTGGGAATCTTTTTTCCTTATTATTGCTATCAACTGGCGACTGAATTTCGATCATAAGCCAAATGGACATTTGGAAAGAAACGGGTACGTACGCCGGAGTATGGCCAATGTGCACTAATTAGAATTATCCGAATGCCAAACTAGAGAACACTGTTGATACCACGTGATGTGTACCTTGTACCCCGACCCCAAGAGTGGTTTAATTGTCATGCTATAGAAGTAAATACACTGATACGAACGTCAATAAAATGTGGTCATCCAAGTGATAGAAAGTTATCTGACCTCAGTATTTTTTCAGGTCAATTAATGTCAATATCAGGGTACAGCAGCAATAAACCTGGAATCATCTCTTGTCTAGACTTCGGATGACTTCTGTATCCTTTGATCATCTCTTGTCTAGACTTCGGATGACTTCTGTATCCTGTGATCATCTCTTGTATAGACTTCGGATGACTTCTGTATCTTGTGATCATCTCTTTTTTAGACTTCAGATGTCTTTTGTATTATGTGATCATCTCTTGTCTTGACTTCGAATGATTCCTGTATCCTGTGACCATCTCTTCTCTAGACTTCGAATGACTTCTGTATCATGTAATCATCTCTTCACAAGATATATATATATATATATATATATATATATATATATATATATATATATATATATATATATATATATATATATATATATATATATATATATATATAATATCTGTATGATAGTATTGTTTGTATTAAACTATTATTTCTGCCCACTATTATCAAGATTCTACTACAGAATCCAGGGATAGCGCAGTCTGTTCTGTCTGGTATATATTTATAATTATTTGTAATACAAAATATCCTATTTACCTTGATTTCTTTAATAGGAATCTGAAACGACTGTGTGTATATATGAGAATTAATTACTAGGTCGTCATGCGAGTGTATCTGCTACGCACGAGCTTATATAACAACGATTCAGTCCCATCATTTTTTGGTAATGCGTGCTTAGTCGTGACTGTATATAGGTTGGTGCGTGCAGGCAAGGCGATGGGTGCCATTTACTCGCGGACCTGGGTTCGAAACACGGTAGAGTACGAATTTAATTTCTCTAACCTGTATGATAGTATTGTTTGTATGTGTATATATATATATATATATATATATATATATATATATATATATATATATATATATATATATATATATATATATATATATATATATATATATATAATCCATACAGAAGACGCGAGTCAAATACTCCGGATGAACTTAGTGACATTGCACAGGATTTGGCATCGGGTATCCAGCGTTGAAAAAATGATATTGTTCGTATCAGCTGTTCTATTGATTTGGCAGGACACTTGCTCTTTGAACTATAATTTGTTAAGAAAAAAAATCCTTTCAAAAGTTAGTAGTTATCGAATTGTGGATTATATTTTCACATGCAAGAATTGAAAAGTATATTATTATCCAATTTATGTATTAGATATACACTGTGTGTCATGATTTAGTGACATGCACTGTGCTAAACGTTACTATGACGTTGAATACTGTACTAAAAATTGATGTCCTCTTTCATTCTGCACTATTCTACTGTACCGTATAACATCATCGTGTGCTGTACTGCATTGTATTGTCCGGAACTGTACAGCGCTGTACTATGCTATATCGTACCATATTGTACTGAATCTTACCGTATCGAGTGTCACGTTCGTTCAAGCTAGGTAGCCGGATGTATGAACGTAAGGCTATTTTCAACACGTTTGATGTGTGTGCAATTGCCGCCTGCCGGTGACAAGCGATTATGTAAGTCGCCAGAAAATTCAGCTATCGGGTCCAATTTTGTAACTTTCACAAATGTATTATAGATCCAAATGAAGCCAGCAGGGTAAACGGGGCGTGTTCTACTCGCCAAGCAGAAAGACAAACAAGAATCCTGACAGTTCAGCTGATTGGGTCAGTCCCACAATATCCAATCGGAATTCAGCCAAGGGATGGGCTTAAATCCTAGATTCGCAAGGATTACCTGACCTATGTCCAATAATTAGTATACCTGAGACACCCTCTTGTGAGGAAACATCTCTGTCATGAATTATAATCCGTGAAACGCAAAATGCCCAAAAAATCAAGAACAACAACAACCAAGTTCTGTAACAACAAGTATATCCCCATACCTAAGGAACGAACAACAGACAAATCTAAAACAAATACCAAATCCATAAGATGATTTCATATCCCACAGTTATACCAGCAACAAGAATAATCAATAAGACCCCAAAACCAAGAGATTTAAGAAGGACCAACCATGAAAAAACAACTAAAGAACCTTCAAACTCGGATATAAAAACCAAGCAGATGGGAAAACAACAACAACAAACACTAAATCCACAAGCTCCACCAAGAAGAAAACAGCTGAGAGAGGAACAAAATCAAATACCACACCAACAACATCAACAATATAGAAAAAGTGCAGAAGAAACCAAACTACCAGGCTTAAATCAGAATTTAAAGTTTGTCTTAACATTAGCAACAATATGTTCTAAAGCAACGGGAACACGAAAGAGTGATCGGACAGAAACAATTAATGATGAGAACGAGAGAGAAATCAAAGGAGAAAAGAGGAGAGCAAAAAGGAGGAAAAAGAAAGAAAAACATGACACGAAAGCGATGGGAAAATATCTCCTTGAAGAAGATGAATGTCTTGAGTAAAAAAAAAATCAACTAACAAACAAAAATAAACAAATAAAAAATAATGCCTGAGTAAAAAAAACAATAACAAAAAAGAATATAGCACAATTATTATATGTAGGGCATGTAGGGCAGGACAGCTTCCCTAAATGGTCTAAAAAGATTAACCATGGAGAGCACCCTCCAACAAAAAGTGAGACGCCACTCGTGAATTGGCGGATAACGTATGACAAAGAATTGTGAACAAAGAAAGAAGCTTCGGAAGATAGTTAGTTTCTCAATTTTTGCAAATCATTACAGCGTCGTAATTGTAAGTATTGATATTATGTTTACTCTATTACTGGGATTATTTTAGTACGTAAAATTACTTTGTAGTGTTTTATTTATAAGCTTTTTTGAGACCTGAATTTGAGTTATGTAGAATTAGGTAGATTGCTAGTTCAGCAGAATTAATGTTATAAGTAGTGTCCGGTTACTCCGCAGTAGCCAGTACTTTTAGTAATGCATATGATAGAGTTCACTAGTTAAAATAGATGTTTGAATATATCAGAGCATAGACATTTGAATATTTGTTATTTT